AATGTGATACATTTATGTGCTCTTTTGTGGTCTTGAGACATGGTTAAAGACAAACATAGTAGTGTTTCAGATAGCACTGTTTTGTTAAATAGTTTCTTACCCCTAGTTTTATTTGATGAGTAGATTCTTTTAACTTGGGAAGCTTCCTTTTGATACCGTGAAATGCAACAAAACCTAATTTTTGAGGCAAACATTAAACGACATGCCTGTTGTTATTGTTGCCTTAATCAGATGAACTTTTTATGTATAGCCTATATTAGCAATTGTTCATACTAATGAGAGTTGCATTTTTAATGATGTTTGGATTGAGATGTTTTATCGGAATTTGCAACTATTGAGATCTTGAATTGAAAGATCATGCATACAATGCTTTGCCTTTATAGCTTGTATGACAAATTAGCTATCGGCATTAGTTACGTCAATCTTTATCCTTCTGTATCTAATGTTAGGTGAACTCATGTAGCGATGCTTGCTTACTTCCTGCTGAAAGATACTTTCAGTGGGTGTTATTCAGTCTTTTAAGTTGATTTAATAAATGAATAACGTGTGGAATATGAAGTGAACCATACATGGCATATTGAGATATACTTCTCAAAACTCTGTCTTACATATATGCACATATGTACATATATGATTATCAATCTCAGCTAGCATTTATGACATATTGGATACATGTCAAGGGCCAGTTCAAGGTTTAAATTTTTTGAATAATTGATAAGATGATTAGATACTTTAGAAAGAAGATGTTCTGTCGAATTTTTTGGAGAACTTTAATATTTTTAAATATTTGAATTAAATTTTATATAATATTTAAGAATCAAATTAATGAAATAAAAAGTAATCTTCGTATATCAAAAGTTCTTGCTATTTTTTCTACATTCATGAAGCACTTTGTTACTAAAATAGTAATCTTTTTCATGATGAACAGATTAGGATGCTAATTCATTACTTGATACTATTTTCTAGGATGTTTGTATCCTAATACAATGTCAATCTTTGTTTGATATATATATCTCACAATTATTTGTCTAATTGTTACATTGTATCCTACTTTTTGAAGGTTTGACATATCATACAGTCGTATCATGTCATATCAGTATCTTGTATATATACCCATACTTCAGATATCACTATCCTGTACTCTTATCCATGCTTTCCATATATCTCATTTCCTGAATTGACTATAATTGACCAAACTTGGTAGTTAGTCTAGTTTTACCAATTTATCAACCTCAACAAAACGAAAAATAAGAGGAACAGAAGGATGCCGATGGTCACAAATGTGGTAGCCACAGGAGGAAAGGCAGAAGAGGAGGGAAATGGAGGATAGACAATAAATACTTATTCAATGATTGTGTCTGTTGTTGTGATTGTCATTTGTTGCGGTCATCATATTTGTCATATGTCGTCACTTTAATTATTTTTAAATTTTTAGTTACACTAGATAGTATAAGCCATTATACCACCGGTATATTAGTACCATGACGAGATGCTGGTATAGGGCCAAAATTTTGAACCTTTGGGTAGACAGCTAGAGAGTATAAAATACAAACTGAACAATGAACGTTGGACTATATATTGCTTTGCAATGACATGGTGCTGCCAAGTTTGTGCGACACTTTATGCTGCAGCTTGTTGTGCCCATATTGGTCACGTGCCTTCTATTATAAAGCATGGTTTCACATCCATCTCTGACATCCGTAATCTGCTGACATGCACGTGAAGATTGGCATAGAGGAGACTGCTGATATTGGCAATCATAGGATCAGATTACAGCTGGATTCTTTTAGGTTGGTGTTGAGATAATTAAATGATGATCTTCAAGATTCTAATGAACTTGTCTCATACTGGACATAAGATAAAAGTATTCGATAGAACATAACTTGTTTGAAGAATTCGATGAAGATATTAGTTAAAAATAAAAATCTATTATAGCTTGAGAACAACAGGGTGGTGGTTTGGAAAGTTTGTGCATGCAATTAAGCTATACACTATATAGGTGGTATTTTTTGCTTCATGTAGTGTTTCGCATGGTAAATTTGTTTTTAAGACTTTGAATTGATCTATTCTCTATCCTTGATTGTGCAATGACACAACTAATGGGCTTATTTTGTAGGGCACCTGGATCTTTACAGATAGATCGACCATTTAGTATATCCATCCCTTCCAGAATGGTGCCCCCTTTTTTGTTTTTGACTTGAGTAAATCCAGTGAAAATTTAGTGTGAAAGATGATTCTCTTCTTTCATCGCATTAAGGTTTTCTGATAACAAAAACTGACAATCACACTACTAAATTCATAAATCTCCTGTTCTGAACATTCTGCATTTTCATGTGTTTAAAGATTCTTTATTCATGTGTTTACGTGGATAAATGTAATGGCAATCCTGAAGGCTTTTACTTTTGCAGGAGATTTTAGAAGCTCGAGAGAAGGCAAAGCAACATATCTGGACGATTCGCACGGTGGAGGAAGCCTCGGTGAATTGGTGGATGATGTATGGCCACATCTTCAAGCTTCCTCCTAAACCTGACCCATGAATTTCCAATTTGATAATGCATTAGGTTTTACCATTCTTCTCAAGAATAAACAAAAAACTCAACATGAGGAGGTCTGAAAGTTACCATTTAGTGAGCACAAACAAAGAGTCAAACAGGGGGGGTGAAGCTTCGCAGTGGGTCTGATGCAGTAGCCTATTTTGCACTTTAGTTATTGACCTTGCAGCTTTGTTTCTTTGTTTCTTGTTTTCTACTTTAGCTGTGTGCAGATATGAAAAGAAGGAGAAAAATAAAGATGACCGGATGCTTTCCCCCTTTTTGTTTTGTGCAAGAAATCTGCACCGAATCTCAAGTATTGCCAACTTTTGTTGATTATTGCAGGATCAAATCCCTTCTTCCAAGGCTTTATTGGGAACCACAGTCATTCAAAACCAAGGTCTGATGCAGTAGAGCCTAATTTTGAATTATTTGAATGATATGGTAGATGCTGTTAATCCATTTGATACCAAGTAAGATGCTGTTTACCTCTAATCTCTAATATTATAATGCATGATGAGCGAGAACAACCACTATTGCACATGCAGGCAACCAGTTATTTTATAAGCCATTTCACATGTAGAAAAAAGCATGCCATGCTATGATTCCTCATCTTGGATATACAAACAACAAATCATGCCGATACGATGGATCGGACAACCTCCTTATCTCTCTGTTTTATTTTTGGAGCCACTGTTAATGTTCATTATTCCCGAGAGCTGATTATAATCTTTTTTTTTTCTTTCTTTTTCGATCGGACTTTTTGATGATGATGTTGTCTCCCATCCTCTTGAAATTTTTTATTTGAGTTTCGACTAAATTAGTTGGATTATAATGCATGATAGTTGGACATCAATGCTATCCGAACGTGTCAGGTTTGATTACTAGTTTGTCTTTATTTTCTATCGCATTTAAAATTTTAATTTAGAAAATAGAATAAAATATGGTCGATGATTATATTCTGGGATTGTTTTTATTTGATCTATTTGGTTGATAGCTTTTAAGATATATAATTATCACACTAATTAATTGTCACTTCGCTTTCTCTTTACTAATTAATTGAGCGTGGAAATCTGAGGGTGGGAAGAGAGAGAGAGAGAGAGAGAGAGAGAGAGAGAGGGAGTAGAATTCCGGGGACCACTTTGGCATGGTATGGCACGTGATAGATTGCGTCCAGGTGACTCATCCGCTGCCGTCTCCTGTGGAGGTAAACTGCGAGGTTACTGCTGCTGCGTGTTGAAGAAGCAGCAAGTAGATGAAAGGTGAAACCCAACGTTGACTATGGCGCTCAGAGTCAACCAAGTCATCGTGAATCATGACAGGACCAATCACAGGTACGATGGTCGCAAGGTTTCCTCGGCTGATGGCACCGAGCACTCACATCATGGAGCTGGACCATGGCGACGACCTAAGCCGAATCGAAACATCATTCGTATCCTGGAACCAGAGAACAATCCGTCGTTTGATGCTGCAGGAACCAGCGAACAATCCTTGGTGTGAATCTGTATCAGTCTCACCGCTGTAGCAGACGAAGCAACAGGTCGAGTACTGCTGCATGGTCTGAGGCCACGAAGGACGGAGAGAGGCCTGGCTACGGCCGTGCCGATCGGGCACGTCGCCGCGTGCCATGTGCACGAAGACACGCCCGTCGTCGCCGTCCGATGAGATGCCGGCCCGCCTGACGCACTGACTGATCGCGGTACGTACGACTCGTGCATGCGAGAGGCGTTCGTCCCGCAAAGGTTGGAAGCGTTCAAAAAGAGAGAGAGAGAGAGAGAGGGTGGGGTACAATTAGTGCAGTTTCAGAGGTCAGAGGCATGGCATGAGAGTGGGGGGGGAGGCGGAGGACCCCGAACGAGTCTTCCGACAACTTTTGAGGCTGTGCTGGTTGTATTCGCTTTGGAAGCTCTCGTTCCGCGGTAAAAACGTCTCCTGCTCCATTGTCTTTGCATGTATTAATGATCTGTGTGGATTCCTTGTGTTTATGTCAGCTCACAGAGCACGAACTCGTCTCTATCGCCACCCTCCTCTTACTCCAGTCAACAGCATCTCCCTTCCGCTTAAGGTGGCCGGGGAACGCTCGGATTCCATCCAGTTTCAGAAAGAGAGGAGGTGTTGGGATTCGCACTCTCCTCGCTCTTCGATCATATAATCTATTCCGATTCCACAGATTTTAATATGGCTGGCTTGAGCTTTTTACAGCAGGGCAAGCAGTTGATTCCGCTTAATTAATCCTCACAATCAATTCTTTTCTTCTTTTCTCTCCTCTGCAATGCTTAATGGCCTCCTTTTCTTGGGCTTCGCCGTGACCCCCTCATAATGCCTACTTAGCCTTCGAGTTTTGCTTGGAACATAAGTAAACCACAACTTCTATATCCATCTAATCTATCAATATTCAATGGTCATCTATAAATGGATCGCTAGTGGGGGGAGAGAGAGAGAGAGAGAGAGAGAGAGAGAGAGAGAGATGCTGCTGCAGCTGGTTATTTATGGCGTGAATGACTTTGGTGCTTTGGATTCAAACTTGAAGAGCTCAGTAAATAAATGCATCACTTTGATCCTCCTTTTTCTTTTGTTTCTCGCTTTTGTAATTGGCTTTTTCTTTTTTGTTTCCTTTGGTTTCCCGGTGGTCTTTGTCATGCTCATAGTGATCATCTCCTGCTAGGTTAAATTAATCGGTGAACAACACAGTCCCAGCCGTCGCCAGTTGCCATCCATCACCCTCCTTGGAAGTCATTTATTTCTACCACAGCCAGCCACAGAGAGGCGAGAGAGAGAGAGAGAGACAAGGCTGTACAAGCAGAGAATATATCTCTCTCCTGTGTGTGTACTCTTTGGACTCTCACTCCATCCGGTCTCCGCTGAGGTTTCCCCACCTCAGTCTCTTTCTGCTTAACTCGAGCTGAGGCGGTGGATTAACTTGTGGAGCGGCACAGAGGAAGGTCGTTTCGAAGAGGAGAGTCGGAGGGAAGGTAAGAAACAGAGCCGGAAGCAGGAAAGCAAGCAAACCGCTTACGCTTGCATGCATGGAAGGAGGAGAGAGCATTGTGGTGTCAGGGTGTGAAGGAGGAGGTGGTGGAAGAGGAGATGGAGCAGGAGGTGAAGGTGGAGGTGGGTTGGGAGGAGGAGGAGGAGGAGGAGAGAAGGAGTTTCCTGCTTTTTTTCCTCCATCTCCGTCGCCGACTCCGTCACTGCAGCCGGAGGCATTTCCCGGCGTGGTAAGCGGGGTGACGGAAATGGCCGTGCCGCCGGCGGAAGGGGCTGGCCTCGCCATGGGGGTGCTGGGGAGCGGCGGCGGCGGGAGCGGAGGTAGCAGCGGTGGAGACCTTTTCGGGAGGAAGAAGAGAGGGAGGCCGAGGAAGTACGGGCCGGACGGCATGGCTCTGGCGCTGACACCCACCTCCGGCTCCCCTATATCTCCCGTCTTCTCCGACGGCAAACGGGGTAGAGGACGGCCACCTGGCTCCGGCAAATACCAGATCCTTGCTGCCCTCGGTAACATGCTATGCCCTCCATTCTCCACCCTCTTCATCTCTGAGGCTCTTCTGAGCTGGTATTCGGAAGGCACAAAACCCCCAACGACATCTCTCTTTCTTTCTCTCTTCCTATCGAGATTACGACAAGCAACTGCTAGCTTTACTGGTAGATCGACCGCTTAATTTGCTGCAACATGAAAGGAGAGTTCAGTAGGTATTTTACTGTGATGTAGGAGTACAAATCAACAAGTTATAACATTGGGTGGTAGCTTTGGTCAGAAATCATTTATGCCATCTAAAAGAAAAAGGGGATTTTTAGGTGAATAACACACAACATATTTGGATTTTTTGCTGTTTTATAGGAGAGTGGTTTGCATACTCGGCTGGAGGGAACTTTACGCCGCATGTTGTGACCATTGCCACAGGGGAGGTGACATTTTTCCCGACCAATCTTGGTGTTCTAATGGTGATCGGATGTCTTACGATTGAAGTTTGCAGAGTTTGATATCATGGTGTTGGATCTTCTTGTTGCAGGATGTTTCTGCTAGAATACTCTCCTTCTCCCGCAAGGGTCCGCGGTCGATTTGCATACTTTCTGCAAATGGGGCTATCTCCAATGTCACTCTGCGCCAGCCGGGTTCTTCTGGTGGTACCTTGACTTATGAGGTATGGAGCTGCAGCCATTTTATTTTCGGTTCTCGGTTTGGTTACAAGAGTTCTTTCTTATGAATGCTAACCATTTTACTTTCAAGCTTCACTATAGTCGGCAACCCGTGGATGCTAACCCCTAAGAGTTATTTTCTTCTTTACGGATTAGCTTTTGAGAATTCAACTTGATCTCATCTCGTAGTCAACTCTCAGCTTCTAAATGTTGAAATTAGTATTAAGGTTAAGATTTGCGGTTTAATTGGTAGAAGCTTGAGAAATTTATTAACAAACATCTATCGATTTACAAGGCCCAAGGCATACTTGGAGATGAGACGGGGCTTGCGGCAAAACTTAGAATGCAAACTTGTTGTTCGAGAGGTCTAATATTTTTTATGATAATATTCCGAACTTTTAGTAATATGTTAATGAGTAGCATTTCTGGCACAATTCGATCCATCGTCAATGCCACTGTTGATTGCTCGGTCATTTTTATTTTTGAGTTCATTAGCTTTATTTCTGTCTTCTAATTTCTTTCAATTTTGTTAGGCTCTCCATTTGATTTCATCTTGATCTCGTTGATGCGCAGGGCCGATTCGAGATTCTTTCTCTGTCTGGGTCCTTCACGATCACTGAAAACGGCGGTGTACGAAGTAGAACTGGTGGGATAAGTGTGTCGCTTGCTGGTCCCGACGGCCGTGTTATTGGTGGAGGAGTTGCTGGACTACTGCTTGCTGCTAGTCCAATTCAAGTAATAAACATTATCCTAATTCCATTTGATTCTGCTATGTTAGTTGGGTCCAAGTGAAGAGCTGCCTAACATCGAGTTAGGTGGTGTATGTAGGAATGTTTATTGTGCTTACAGCTCCTAATAGTTTATACAGTCATTGCTTTGCTGATGCACTCTTGCTTTTGCATCATTCATACCGTGGTATGAGCTGTGTCAAACTTTACTTTCTAAACTCAAATATATGAAAACTTTTAGCGCCCACACATTATTAGAAAATGGACATAACACTTTTCAAAATGATATTTCTGATACTCGTATTTGCATATCTCTCGTCATGGGCTGTATACAGTTTTTTTTTTTTTAAGTTGCTGCAAGGGCATATAGGTGGCATCAAAGTTTTAGGTCATTCATGTGAAATTGCTCTGATTCGATACACGTTTCATGTTATGTACCTGAAAAATCAGCTGAGTTATGGATTGTCAATTATCCTAGCTCGGTATTATATCCATGCAACTCAGATAAGAAACCTAAAGAATAACGAAGACCAAGTATTCAAATAAGAATCACCACACTTGAGTTCTTCCCGAAATGATCTCTCTCGATCAGAGCAATAAGGGTGCCAGCTTAAAGGCGTCGACTTCAGACTGATAGCCTGTGATGGGGTGTTTGTCCAACATATGTCCCATTTAATTTAATTTGTTGGACATGGGGTGTTCTTCATTGTTATTCCGATGTTATTAATATCATTGTTTATATTAACAAATGTTACTTTAACAGTTGTATCGGATAGAAATAAGAGCCTCTGTGGCAAGTATTCTTGCTTTTTCTACTTACGAGTGGAAATTACTGATAGATTCTTCCCCTTGGTTTTGACTTGTTTATCACAAACTAGTAGAGTCTTTTGGTGTGGGAAAATTTAGAATCGACATAATCTCTTTTATTTGCACTTTACCAGGTAGTGGTTGGAAGCTTCATGCCGAACACTTTCAAGGAGCAAAAACCGAAACCAATTCAGCAAGCAACTTCTCCATCATTTCCGGCGACTACTGGGTTGTTGACAGCCGCAAGGCCTGTTTCGCAGGCAAACCCCGAGGATGAGTGCGAGACCCCAACCTCATCGTTGCCCGGGCAATCCCACGCCGAAAATAGCATGCACAACCCCACTCCAAACCCTACTCTTCATGCGCCAGGATGGCACGGTCTACAGTCATCAGAGCATAAGCCTTCTCCTGACATCAACATATGCTTGCAGGGAGAATAGCTCCAAGGTACTTCTCTTTACACCCTAACACTACCAAACTGTTCTAATATGTGTAACGATATTTCTGCTAGATGTTAGGTTAGGGATAGTTTAGTCGTCTGACAAGGTATCCGAATCAATGATCGAACACTGTTCTGCTATTACTTTGAAATTGTTGTCGTCGTCATCTTTGTAGCCTTGTGGAAGCTTGAGGGAACCTGTCTTTGTGGAATTCATGATAACTGTTGATGCTGGAAATTAACTTGTTTCTTTGGTGATATGCATATGTTTTGTCTACCGATTAGTATTTCGTGAGCTTAAACCTTCATTCCTGGAAATTTAAGCACCTTGAGAACATGCAGTCAGGGTAGGTTGGTAACACTGTTAGCTTGAAATCACTGTTGACATGAAAATGGAGGATGGAATTGAAGGCCAAAATGCATCCTTTGGGATTGTGAACAACTGCTATCATGCTGTTTGGACTTTGAGTACTGTCCATGTCATGTTTGTGGTTATTCCTGACAAGAAGCAGGTGAGATAATTGATGAAGCAAATAGTTTGGATTACAACTTGATTGCTGCATCCTTGAACAGATCAACATGGCTTAAACCCAAATCATATCATGTCACTCGTCTCTGAAGCCTGCTGATTGGGTATCTTTTTCTCACCTCTGTTGTTAATGGTGATCATTACTGATGAGGATGCAGTCTTCTCCTCCCCTCACCATCCCTTCTCTCACTTCTATCAGTACTTGATAAAAATCACTGCCAAAAGAAGCATAAATATGCTCGCCTGATGAGTTTGAGTCAAAACCAATCTCAACTATTTGATTCATGAGCACAAATATTAGGCATTGTTTGTGGCATTAATTTCCTTGAACATGAAGACCTGCAGAGATTCATGTAAGAAACTGAAGCAAGACTTGAGAAAAAATGGAGTCATTGAGATCAATCACAGCAAGCAAACAAACACTTGTGGTTGCAATTTATCCAAATAAAACAATACAGAAATCAAACCCTAAAAGAAACTGAGTGATTTGAGCATCTGCTTATTACAAGAAGCTGAATGAAATATGAAACTGAGAGTGTTTGATACTCCATCCATCTTTTTGGCTTATTCATTTCCTTTTCAACCAGAAACTTGCATTATATATATGGAAGAATTCAACCATCACCACTCTATTTTATCTTCTTTTATTTTCCTCTGAAATGCACACAATCAATCTTCTTGAGACTAAACCAGTCTTCTCTCTACCACAACTGCAGCTGCTGTCCTACTTGCTTGTCTCCTTTTTCATTTCCCTGTATCTATTAGATCCCTGCATATGAACACTAGAAGTCTACGGGCAGTTGCTGCACTGCCTTGACTTAGACCGAGGTAGAAGATGAAGTCATGCGAAGCCTTTGGCAATTAGTGGAGGCACCTCATCAACTGGGGACGAATGTGCCGACATGGCCGAAACCAACTACGAAGAAAGCAATGGCTTGGAGGAAGAGGTAGATGAAGTAATGGTTCTTCCCGAAGGCCACATCGTAACATCCACAGAAGAAGAGGAAAGCTCCTGTGCCGAGCTCCAGCAGATGTAACCTGAGTTGGACATGAGAAAGTATCAGGCGAGATGAACAACCATGGATTCGTGTTTGCTGTTACTCTGTTCCTGTCAAGTAAGAAGCAGAAGCTGGAAGAAGAAGAAGAAGTAGTCGTGTCTGCAAGAAAGAGCTGAGGACAATAGGGATCACCTATCACCGATTCTGGTTCGTGGTGGCTTCTTGACTGCCTTGGTGGCCATTTTGACCTTCATGGTGTCGCCAAGCTTCTCGGTGACGATCCATTCATTTGCTCTTCCTCCTTCCAACAAGCCAATGAAGGTGGCCTTTGTCCTGTGCAATGACATGACGTTCTCGAACAGGATCCAAAACACAAGCAGGTGAAGAGACCTGTCACGGCAGCAATCAAAAGAACTTCGATGAGTTGGTTGCTGTTCTTCTTCTTCCTGTTGTCGTGATCAATGAACCGTCGATGGATCCACACCTTGGGGTTCCAACAGCATTGAGGAGGGTGATGACGGAGGGGATGTAGACGGCACCCCACTTGGGTATTTCCACCTCAGGAACAAGCACAGTGGCAGGGATGACGATGCAGTAGAACACAAAGGTCACGATGTGAGCTACAACCTTGCGAACGAAGAAGAAGCTGTAGATCACATGGACCTTCTTCCACAGATTCACTTTCTACATAGCAACAGAAGAACAAAAGAAAGCCTGATCAGATTCACAGAGACTCATATCGTTCTATCTCATCGATCTCCTCCGCACTCAACTGACCTTGTTGCTTGCAATCTCCATCAACATTTTCCTTAACAGGTTTGCTGGGCCACAAGACCACCTGTGCTGCTGATACCGGTAAGCCTTCAGAGTACTCGGCAGCTCATTCTTAACCTGAATTCATAACACCATCCGTATCAAACACTGATGCAAAGCCTGTTTGAGCTTGTGATAAGAACATGATGAACTTACCTTGAGATCACCGAGGAATACAAACTTCCACCCCTTGAGGCTTGCTCGGACAGCCAAATCCATGTCCTCTACTGTGGTTCGATCTTTCCAACCTCCGGCCTCATTGAGAGCAGATATCCGCCAGACACCGGCGGTCCCTGCATGACAAAGAGAGAGACACAAAAGAACTATGTTGATTCTGTTCTTCGTTTTCCCTTCAAATTAGTCATTTCTTCTATCGACCTTTTTGTCGTTCATGTCACTGCAGAGACTGCTGGCAGACATGCCATGTTCTTGTTCTTAAAGCATTTTGGGTATGTTAGCACAGTTTGAAGAGATCAGAGAGGCCGAGGAGCTCACCATTGAATCCGAAGAAAGCATGTGTGAAGGATCCCACTTCCTGCTCCACTGCGAAGTGGTAATCCAGTGACATTTCTTGGATCCTTGTCATCAAACATTCATCTGAGTTCACTGCAAAAATGAACATAACTATATTTCACACACTCACATACAAAAAAGAAAAAGAAAAACAGATCTTCTCTTTCTATATATAGTTCAAAGATGAAATAGTTAACCATCTCTCTCTCTCTCTCTCTCTCTCTCTCTCTCTCTATAACTTTGACATAAGATGATTCTTATTACCTCAAGTAAGGTATAAACATCATGAATTATATTCAAGCAGAACTCAGTCCACTAAACCCCACCATTCATATGATGAGCCATGACAAATATTTTAGCCTACTAGATTTTTATTTGGGTTACCAATAAAACTTACAGATTTGGGAAGACAAAGAGGTAACATTCCCAAAGCATATCTATGGTTGAGATCTTTGTGGTCTATTGGAAAAGGTTGGCTTGTTCAATCGATGCTGTGCAGGGTAATAATGGCTGTGGAGGTCCACTGTCAAACATACATGCATGTCATAGGAGATGGTAGCATAAGAAGAACAAATGCACATGGTATGTTAGGAACAGATGAGATAGTGGAGATGATACAACTTGAGGTGAGCATCAGAAACAGGTGACAAGCTTTCCACTGAAGAAAGATGACAAGATCAAGATCAGGTACTGCACTATCTCCATCACACTAAGTGACTTACTCTGGGGGAAAAAAAAGAGAGAAATCTCTCTTCTTTGGCTGATGCTCTTCCCTCTTTCATCTCTCTTCATCTACATTCCTCCCTATAGTAAGACCACAAGCTTTGTCCCCCCCTCCCACCCTCCACATAAAACTAGGCATGTGTTGTTCTTAGAGATTAGGACAAAATGCTACAGAAGGCTCCATATGAGCAACTTGATACAGATTTGAGACCACTGTTTACCTCACATGACTCAGGAAAGATCAAAGAGAGAGAGAGAGAGTGGAGGTGGAGGAGAAAAAGTTTCAGAGATTAAATGCATATGAGTTATTATGATGATAAAAATTTTTAGTTTTGAATCTCTAATATTCTCTTCTACCATTCCTTCTTCATAATTTGTTAAGACTATCATCTTTGCCGAGAAAATTTCCAATAAATTTTGACTAAGTCTATTGGTAACAAATAAAAATTTCCAATAAATTTTGACTTGGTCTACCGACAATTGATAATAGGATAGGTTGAGAGACACGTGTCACATCATGTGTCGGCTACAAAAGGTGGGCCATGACGTAAGTGTCGGCCGGCCCAAAAAGCCCACAAAAGCAAGAAAGAAAACTACCTCAACCACCTGCCTTGCGATTGGAGCAACTTCCGGGTCCCATGTGCCAGCACGGCATGTTTCCAATCCCAATTCAGGTAAATTTATGTAAAGGTAAAAGAGCGGCGTTTCATGCGTGAAAAGTCAACATGGTCGGTGGACAGGTTTCTAAGGAGAAGAAGGGTAGAAGAAGGGGAGCGAGGAGATGGAGACGGGCTTAACGTGAAAGCCATGCGATTACAGACCTGCACGAATCATTTGGTCCAGCGAAGGAGTGGGAGGCGATTGAAGCAGGTGGAGCTGCTGGGTAGCTGCAGCTCATAATTGTGGCACGTCCTAGCTTTTTACGGGGAGAAAGTGAAAGCAAGCAGATCCGCCACCGACACTCAAACGGAGAGAGAGAGAGAGAGAGAGAGAGAGTTCCTCCATTGACAAAGCTTAAGGATGCCTTTTCTGTCGAGAAGCTAAAGAAAAAGAGGAATGACGAATAAAACAGAGGAGGCGTACCGAATTTCCAGCGGGCTTGGACGAGGGCGAGGTCGGGGTTGTGGATGAGGAAGGGGACGGTGCGCCAGAGGAAGTCGGGCTCCGGCTGGAAGTCGGCGTCGAAGATGACGACGTAGTCGCAGTGCTCGACGTAGCCTCGCTTCATGCCGTCCCTGAGCGCCCCCGCCTTGTACCCGCTCCGGTTGTCCCTCCTCTCGTACTTGATGTGCACCCCCTTGCTCGCCCACCTGTTGCACTCCATCTCCACCAGATCCTGCACGCCACCAACCAACCGGCACCACCATCACCACCCACCACCACACCATCTCCATTACCAAACATGCATCAATCCTCATCACCTTAATATTAATAATAATATTATTATTATTATCATGCATGTTAATTAGTAAGTACATCCAAATCAGCCAAAAAGGGATCCGCTGATGCTGACGCTGCTGCATGACATGATCAGCACAGAGATTGCGTCGAGGATTTAGAACGGTGTGCGTGCGAATCTATTCTCACCTTCGTCACTGGGTCGGTGGAATCGTCGAGCACTTGGATGATGATCCGGTCCGCCGGCCACGAGAGGCCGCATGCAGCTCCCACCGAGAGCTGGTACACCTGCAATGCCCGCGTGTCGTCCCCTGCGTCAAACATGGAGCTGTACATGTACGCACATGGGGCGGGGGATGAGAGGAGGGACGGGCACCTCTTTCTCGTTGTACATGGGGATCTGGACGAGGACCATGGGGTAGGCAGCGCTGCCGAGCTCCAGGTCGTCGCGAATGGGCTCCCACTTGTACCGCTTCTCGGGCCGCCGGCCGAGGAACTTGACGAGGGCGATGACGGCGGCCATGTACACCCTCTCCACCACCAGCATGACCGACATCACCAGGCAGACGAACACGGCCAGCCGCAGCAGGGGGACGATCACCGGCGCCTTGATCTGCTGCCACACCACCCCCATCTGCTCCGTGATGTCGTCCCTCGTCCCCTGGAACGACTCCGGCAGCAGCGCCGTCGAAGTAAGCCTTTCCATCTCCCCTCCTCCTCTCCTGTCTCTCCCGAACCGGAAACAGCGGAAGCAGGGGACGCTAAGTAGCACTCAGAAAGTGCCTGTAGAGGACAAATCTTATTCTCTCCTTGAGGTAAAAGCACGAATTCCTCCAACAAATAGTAATCGCGTATTTTACGTCGTATTCTGCTGCAAGTGTTGCTGGGGAATTAAGCAAGACAATGCGGTGGAGCCGCAGTGTCAGAGCTCTCTTTCTTCCCCACCCACACACTCGATAGCGAGCAAAAGATAAGGAAGCGAACAACAAGAAAAGACCGTGAGAACACAACGCTTCGCTTTAGATCTCCCTCTCTTGCTTCCACGTAACAAAGCGGAGCTCAAGATTTCAGGTAAAAAGAAAGAAAGAATTCCTCTCTCTCTCTCTCTCTCTCTCTTTGTCTCTCTCTCTTCCCCTGCTTCTTCCAAGATTATGACAACAGCAGATACAAGAGAGAGACCGAACAAATGGGAGATCAAAGATGAACAGGGAAGAGGAAGAGGAGGAGGAGGAGGAGGAGAGAACACAGGCAGAACCCCAACTGCAAGGTCCTCAGCATGCTCCTTAAATAAAAAACGACATCTTCTCCTCCACAGAAGCAAAAAGGAAAAGCACGTGAATTAGTCTTGGATTACTGTAACATTAAGACTAACATCAGGTCGTGAACAGAAGAAGAAGAAGGAGGAGGAGGAGGACACCAAATCTGCGGCCCCCGCCTCAATAATTTCCGCCATTATTTTCAGCTTCCCCTGTCGCAAACAGATCGCGCGCAGGAAAACAAACGCCCTGCAGTAAAAGGGAAATCCACGGCCGACCCTGCACCTACGCTTCAAGGATGGGTGCTGCATGTCACACGTGTGGCTCATGCAAACCGGCATTACTGTGCGGGGAAGAAAAGGGAGACGACTCACGTGCCGGCATAGCGTCTGAAGAAGCCTGTGAGCTTCCATGGCTGGGCTTTAGGAAGGACCAAAGCATCACATGCCGCTGGTCCTACATGAATGCTAAGCTGTCCTCTTTACTTGTACCGAAAGCATGCAGAGGTCGCAAACGCTTGTGAACACATTAGAAGAGAACAACCACTATCATGTGTTGGAGCGCAAGGAAGACGAGTCGGTGACAAGAAAGGCTGCTGTGCCCTCGGTCAACAAATCCAAGGCAGTCAATATATTCTATGCTCGGTTATCTTAGAAGTCACTTCCCTCTTTTTTTTTTATATCTAAAATATTAATTTAACGATAATATATCAAACTTATTTGAAAACTCATTCTAAAAATTTAGAAATGTCAACTATAAGAATGAGTGATAGAATATGTAATACAAAAATTATGATGGATGATTATTGATACCTCATCGTCAATACGTCACTTGTCAAATCTACCGAATACTATTGGGAAAAGCCCAAATGACAAGTTTGTTCTCACGTAATAAGAACAAAGGCTCTTTCATTGGTACTGCTACCATTAGTGCAAATGGTGTTCCTACATGTGGGCATGTTTAATTT